GGGAGCACAGAGCTCTGCCGTCGGCACTTTGTTGCTGTTCCCAGGTAGCCAGGGTGTCTCTCGGGGGGAAAAATTAAACAAATAGTTCAATACCAAACGGCTTTGCACTGAGGACTAGGAAGAGGCGCCACTGGGCTGTTCCCACACATGTTTATTGACCTTCTGTTAGGTGTATAACGTCTGACAGGGAGGGAAAGGCTCATTCGTCGGCCCCCCAGTCCTCGCCATCCAAGCAGCTATCTGCCTGTCCCTGGGTGTCAGAGGATTGTAATAACCCTACCTTTCAGTCTTCCCCATGTCAGCTATCGTAACACACTCGGAGAAGAGGCTGGCTGATAAAGCTAATCTGGAGATTAACTGCTTGTGAGACATTCCCTCATGGCCGTCACAAGACCTCTGGGCCCAGGGTTCGAGTCTCTGTGTGTGGAGTTTGCATGTTCTCCCTGTGTTGATGTGGGGTTTCCGCTGGGATACACTTTGGACCCCCGCAACCCTGCATAGGACAAGCAGGTATACTGTAGTAGGATGATGGATAGATGTTCTCTTGTGTAACAGCAAAGGTCCGGTTCACCGACCATCAGCCTTCGAACCCGCAGACTAAGCTGACACTGCTCACTTTGCAAGATTTCAGTTAATCCCCAAAAAACATCTTGATTTCTATTTAGCTGTGCACTTAACTTCTTTTCTCCTAATCATACCAGCATGGATGATCTGTTTTCTTTCCTCTGAAGGGCATTGTTTTCTCATTTGAGCATATTATGGTGTCATCCCGAAGAATTTGAAATGATCGTTATTTGGGGGAAAAAAAGGACTTTTTGAAACTTGCCGGCATAGTTAGCCAAGGCCTGTAGCAATCATCTGTATCCGCATTTCACCCGAGATGGCCGGGGGCAGGATCTTCGGCTCTGTACGTTCTTGCAAAAATCCATCTGTAAATTGAATTTGTTACATTGGAATATAAACCCATTTATGGAGGGGGGGGGGGTCTCCACATCTTATTTCTTTCCAGCATCAAAGACTCTTGGATCTTCTCGACGCTGAGAGAGATGCCTTAGAAGAGAACGTAAAAGAGACTTTGAGTCAACAAGCCCAGCATCAGAAGGTACTGTTTTCAATACAGAGACTGTTAGCATTGGCTTTGTTAAAAAAAGACCCGCATTCAACTGACTCCCCCCCCCCCCGGCCCCACCCCGTCGGAGTCGCGGGGAGCTTTCGCAGCCCGGAGCCACGCTTAACGCATGCGTGTCCTTAGCTCCGGTCGTGATACTTCTGTTTATTTTCAGTGTATGAAAATTTCAGTTCGCGGAGAGGAAACAGGAAACGCTACTTATGTCAAGGGAAGGCTGCTTTACATTAGCCTGCGGGAGCCGGTCGATTAAGCTGCACAAAATATGGTCGCGCTGTGTGAAGGGTGGGTGTGACCAGACTGAATTTGGAAAGAAATTGTATAAGTAAATGCATGAAGAATGTATCTCCTGATATTATGTTGCAGACTTGCAAGGCCCTTGGTAAACATGCCTGGTTGATAAATATACATTCCAGTGCACTAGCTTCCTGTCTCTCTCCAACGTAAACATCTGGTTTGATATGAAGTGTAAGCTGTCCTTAGGATACCTACATGTAAAGCATGAACTGTCCTTAGGACTTCAGCGTTTGTCACAAACTGTGTCTCAGTGTGAGATTACCCAGCCTCCCCTGTGAGCTTTCTGCTAGCATCACAAATAACTATATATGGATTCCATGCCTGAGAATACTGAGACCACAGTTGTGTTTGTTGCAGGAGTTGCTGGAAAAGTGCTTACAGGAGGAAAAGCAGAAGGCTCAAGACGCAGTCGAAGAAGCTATTAAGGTAGAAGGCAGTCTGCCATCTTGGATACTGTTCCTTATGACTGACTGACTAAAATCGCTCATGTGCAATCAGATGCTCCCCTGCTGTAGTTTTTATGTCTTGTTTTATCTCTGTCAAAACTCTTCTTCTGTCACAGCTGCGCACATAATGCCATGGGATGCTCAAAGTACATCTGTGTGGCACTTCCTTTAAGATAATGAGAGGGATGCCAGAATGCTCAGGTTCAGGGATTGTCAACCCATCTGGACACGGACAAACGTGTGCGGGAAAATGTTTTGTTTGAGGGGAAAAAAACACCCAGGTTATGTTTTTAAATTCCATGTCCTTGGTAAAAAGTACATTTTGATAAAAATGTCCATCAGAATTTGCCATGGTGTTGAACGCTGCTTCTACGATGTGGAAAAGGCAGGTTGGCGAATCAATACAGTTGATTAGTTGTATCAGTGCAGGATTATCAGGACTAATCAGATTAGTTGATGAGTTGTATCAGTGCAGGATTATCAGGACTAATCAGATTAGTTGATGAGTTGTATCAGTGCAGGAGAAGTGATGAGTGATCTGGTGCCGTTGCAGGCCCAAGAGGAGCGGATGAAGGAGGCGGTGCTGGAGGCGGTACGGGAAGAGAGGAGGCGGGCAGATGAGCGGTGGGCAGAGCAGAGGACGGAGTGGGAGGCGGAGCGTCTCAGGGACAGGGAGACGCTCGCTCGGGCCATAGAGGAGGCCCTGACGGACCAAAGGAGGATCAGCAAGGTGGGCGATTATCCCGCGCTCTCTGTTAAAATGCTGCCTGCAGTGCTGCCAAAAATAATGCAGAAGGCAGTTTAAATGGAGGATAATGACCGTGACACCTCCCTTAATAATAAAAACACATGCCTTGATATCCTGTGACCGGAGAAGGAACTTTTTCAGGGGATTCTGTCTCATAAATTGACATGTATAGATATACTTGAGACATTTTTTTAATAATTGTCCTTTTCCTTAAAGAGAGTGTGTTATGTGATAATGGAGGGTGACCCATTTCAGTGCAAGTTCAGCAATAGTATCTGACCAAACCAATCAGGCGCATACAGTCGCTGAAAGGGCAGCTCTTTTATTTCAGCATGACAGAATTCATCAAGTTGGTAGTAATGACCTAATTCGAAATGTTAGACAGGTGTAACCAGATCTTTACGTGCAGAGTTAACCAGTCACCCTGCTTTTCAGATCACTCAAATTAAAATCGCTGCAAATTCCCAGGGCCCCCATCTTCACCCTGCTTTGTAGAGTTGAATTGTGGGGATTTGATTTTATTGGTTTGTGTATCTCTGAAAGCTGCAAGCCAGTGTTTTTGTAGGGGGGGGGGGTTCTCCTGTGCTAGTGAGCCGCTTTAAACTCGCCTGTCTGGCAGAATGATGCCAGTTATGGTTCCGCTCTGCAAACCTCCCAGTCATAGCTGCTCGATGACAGCAGATAATATAATTCTTACTGTTGATTTTGATTTAAAGAACATATAGCTGGCAGGTCCAGACACAGTCTTGGGGGCTAGTCTGGACTGGTATGCTGTCTGGGAATGAAACGTTATTTAAAAAAAAAAAAAAAAAAAAATGATTATGAATCAAAAAACAGTGCAATACTTTTCCATACATTTCTGACGTACAAATGCCTGTGTGACTTAATTTTTTATTATTTTTTTTTGCTTTTTCTCTCTCTTTTAGCTTTCAATATTTTAGTGATGAGTGGTAGAACAGTTGGTTTACCTGTCAGCTGTCACTCAGACAATCTCTCTTAACAAATGAAAAAACATCGAGTTTGTAGTTTTTAAGGTGACCTATCCTGTATATACACTGAGTTGTTTGGCGATGAACTTTAACATGAAATTTTAATAGTATAACTATACCAAATATTTGGATGGATTACTTGAATAACAATGTGAGATTTTAGCAGTAGTGCCGCAATTGACATCAATCGTAGGCTGAAATTTGAAAGACTGTGTTGGGTCTGAGTGCTGGAGTTATTGTGGTAAACTCAACAGCGCTGAAGACGATGGGAGCCTGTGGTATTGTGGGAAAACAGCAGCACTGAGGCTGGATAATTGAGCGCCTTAAGTAGGTCGAGCGAAATACTTAAACGGAGCAGTCGGCTGAGTGCTTGTGGCAGTCGCTTATTTAGAAAGAATGGCTGTAGGGACGGAAGCACTTATACAGACCCTTCATTATGTTGTCAAGCTTTACGAGCTGGGTAAACCAACACTGGAGTGATAATTGTAATATTGGGCATTTTAACAAATTATTTTCGAATTTGTTTGCATGCTGATGAAACCAGTGCTTCTGGTCGATTTCTATGGCCAGAGGCAGATGGACACAAGTCCTGTCCGTGACACTTGTTGGATTTCAAAGAAATGACCAGCTCTTGAGATGGTTGAGTTCTGTACTGATTAATTTTTATATATAATAGTCAAAACAAAAGAAGTATAGAAGAAAATGAAATAATGAGAACTCTTGGATATGTAAAAAAGTGTGTAGGTTTGTTTCAGTGTCTTAACACATCTGGGGTCATCCCCAGAGATAAGGTGTTCTTAAAAATATCAGTCAAACACCAAATATGTGGAAATTCTAAACTGGAAACACAAAGTAGCCGAACAGCTACCTGCAATGTTTGCAATGCCATCTTTTCAAGAAGAGGTTGCAACAGAGCTTCATTTAATACAACCCTGTTTCCAAAAAAGTTGGAACACTATGTAAAATGTAATGATTTACAAATCTATAAACCCATCTTTAATTGAAAATAGAACAAAGACTACGCATCAAATGTTGAAACTGAGAAATTGTATTGCTTTATGACAAATATATGCTCAATTTGAATTTGCCAGAAACATGTTTCAAAAAAGGGGTATGATTACCACTGTGTTGCATCACATCTACTTTTAACAACATTCTGTAAACATTTGGGACTGAGGAGACCAGTTGCTAGAGTTTTGAAAGTGGAATATTGTCCTATTCTTGCCTGATATAGGATTTCAACTGCTCAATAGTCTCCTTTGTTGTATTTTTTGTTTCATGATGCGCCAAATGTTTTCAGTGGGTGACAGGTCTGGACTGCAGGCAGGCCAGTCTAGCACCCGGACTCTTCTACTACGGAGCCAAGCTGTTGTAATACACGCAGAATGCGGTTTGGCACTGTCTTGCTGAAATATACAAGGCCTTCTCTGAAAGAGACTTGTCTGGATGGCACCATATGTTGCTCCAAAACCTGTATGCATCATTCAGCATTAACGGTGCCTTCCCAGATATGCAAGTTACCCAAGCTGTGGGCACAAATGCAGCCCAAACCATTACAGACGCTGCCTTTTCAACTATCTGCTGAGAACAAGCTGGATTGTCCTTCTGCTCTTTAGCCCGGAGGATACGGTGACCACGATTTCCAAATAGAATTTGAAATTTTAATTTCATGTTTTTTATTTTGCCTGAGTCCATCTACAATTAGCTTGGACCCAGATGGTCGGCAACGTTTCTGGATCATGTTTAGATATCATTTCTTCTTTGAATGGTAGAGTTTTATCCTGCATTTGTGGATGCAGCACCGAACTGTGTTAATAAAAAATGGTTTTCGGAAGTGTTCCTGAACCCATGCAGTAGTTTCCACTATAGAATCATATCTGTTTTTAACAGATGTGGAGATTTCAGGTCCAGAGAGTACAAATCCAGACCAAGATTTTGTTTCAACCAATGAGTTCAATACTCTGTGACTGTGACTCTTTGTACTCAAACCTCCCCCTCTGGTTTTTAATGCAGTGCCGCCTGATGACCCGAAGATCACAGGTATCCAATATTAGTTTTCGGCCTTATCCCTTGTGTACAGAGATTTCTCCAGATTTCTGACTCCTTTAGTGGTATTATGTACCGTAGATGATGAAATCCCCAAATTCTTTGCAGTATCACATTGAGGAACATTATTCTGAAATTATTGCACTGTTTGCTCACGCAGTGTGTCAGAGTGGTGACCCTCTCCCCATCTCCACTGCACAGAGACCCTGCCTCTCCGGGAGGCTCTTTTTACACCCAGTCATCTTACTGACCTGTTTCCAATTAACCTAATTAGTTGTGAGATATTCAACCAGGTGTTTTGTTTTCGCATTACACAACATTTCCGGTCTTTTGTTGCCCCTGTCCAGACTTTTTTTGAAACGTGATGCTGGCATCAAATTCAAATTAAGCATGTTTTTGTCATAGATCAATATAGTTTCTTACTTTAAACATTTGATATGTTGTGATATGTTCTATTTTCAATGAAATAGGTGTTTCTATGATTTGCATTCTGTATTTATTCACAATTCAAACAGCATCTCAACTTCAAGGTTGGTGTTCCAAAAACAGTGGATCAAGACATGCCTAATTGTCTGAAACTTTATTAAAGTTGGGTAGTTGTGTCCCTCGATTATCCATCCTTGGGAACATACTCTTTTGTTAGGTGTCTACTCAGCTCTCCCTTATCCTGGAAGGATGGATTAGTGTAGATACTGCGACTTTCTTTCCAATCTAGATGTGCTCCAAAACTCATGCCGATCATGATTTTTTTTTTAACCTTAGGATACCCTGTCACCCTCAAGCTACTACACCCTTCATGTTAATTTACCGTTTATATATCCCCTTTTTCAATAAGAAATGTTAATTGAAGATAAAATGCATAAAATAAACATTGCTGAGTCCCCACTCTGCCGTAGGTCTGAAATCCGCTCATTGACTACTTACTACTTTTCATGCTTCTTGGCTCAGTTTTTTTTTTTTTTTTTTACCCTCCCATCTGTCTTGTTTTTGCATGTTTTTCTCTAAATTTAATAATATCATCATGCATCCTCGTCCTCCGGCAGTGTTCGCGATCAGCTTCATGTGGAAAACCCACCAATCATGTAAAGAGACATCATCCCGAGGAAGACTCAGGAGGCAGGAATGTATCTGATTGAGATCCCTAGCGTGGGTTGACAAGCAATGACCATAGCTCACTCCGTGCCTCTGATCAGAGACTGGGGGTCTCTACTGTTCAAGTCCAATAACCATTGTAAAAGTGGCAAGTCTGCAGTAGCATGGGCTTCTTATCTGTGCCTTAAAAGCCCATCCACAAGCAGAAACTGTCAGTCAGTTGGAAAATGGCACCTGCTCTGTATAAATGTACCCTCAAACCTGTATAACACAGATTTATTAAAACTGATATCCCCAGCAAGGCTAATATTTTTTGTTCTACCACTAAATGTCGGAGATTTATCATTCAAACATTCTAAGGGTTTATGTAGGTACTTTTGGACCCAAGTCTGGTGGGTTTGATGCACAGCCAACCAAAATATTGTGTCCGTGCCAGGAGTCTGCTCTGAGTCCACCATCAGCAAGCTGTGAAGGTCTGCCTAAAGGCCACAGGGAGTCCTTTTGCCCATGCTGTGAATGAAGGCCTGCCTAAGTGCCACAGGGAGTCCTTTTGCCATTGCTATGAAGGCCTGCCTAAGGGCCACGGGGAGTCCTTTTGCCCATGCTGTGAATGAAGGCCTGCCTAAGGGCCACGGGGAGTCCTTTTGCCCATGCTATGAAGGCCTGCCTAAGGGCCACGGGGAGTCCTTTTGTCCATGCTATGAAGGCCTGCCTAAGGGCCACGGGGAGTCCTTTTGCCCATGCTATGAAGGCCTGCCTAAGGGCCACGGGGAGTCCTTTTGCCCAAGCTGTGAAGGCCTGCCTAAGGGCCACAGGGTATGCTTTTGCCCATGGTGTGAAGAAGCCTGCTGAGAACCACCACCCCCCCCGACAATCCCCTGTTATCTACTGCTCTTTTGACTTGTAGAAGAATAATATCAGGGCAGCTGCCTATCATCTTGTGAATATTGAAACGTTTTCAAACAAGGTGACTGTTTCAACGCATTTGGAATCAGATGGGGAACAACGCATAATTGGTATTAAGTATTTCTCTATCCAACTATCATAAACACCAGCTCATGTAAACTTTCCCACCAAAGAATGAAGGTTTTTTTTTCCCCTGGTGCTCGTAGAGACGGGACTGTTTCCCAGTCTCGCTGTAGTAGGGTGCCAGCCTGCATTTCTGATCTTGGGCCTTCTTGTATTATGTAGGTGGCACTTGAAGGCTCTGATAGATGCAGGACAGGTAATTAGCGCCAACTAACCAATGTTAGTGCCACTGACTCTGGGCTGCGTGTCAGAAGAATAACATTCAGGCTAATGTTATCCTCATCATAATCGCTGAAATCACAGTGTGAATTCCGTAGCAACTTCCTGGCTACTGCCTTGTGCTTTTAGATTGGTCAACAGAGGCTTCCGTTTGTGGATAACAGACGTGCTTCATCTAAGCAATTTATACATACTAAGTATATTTACGGTTAACCAGAGATGTTAATTCGTTTTTGGTAATACTGCCGAGTGTCCAAAAGAAACGAAAGAGCCATTTTGAGCAATTCCAGAAGTCTGCTCAGATTTCTGTTTATGCTTGCAAACATAAAGTATGTTAGGGTATTAGACATGCAGATCCCTTACCATACCAGTGCTGACCTGCCAGAGTAGTCGCAGACGGTCATCGGGGTGACCTTGGGCGAAGCTTATCTCACCTGTCCAGCTAATGGGATGTTCTCTGCCATGCCAAATGACAGCGATTAGCTTTCGGCATGCTTGCCCTTGTTCATTTTGTCGGACACATCAGCCCACTTGACTGAACGACGTGGAACAACAGAGAACTGTCAGCAATTTCTCCAGCCACTTGATTGGTTTTGTAATGAAAGTGTAGTCTAGACGATGCTCCACTTGAATAGTGTCTGGGGGTTTTTTGGCGAGCCTCCACATTTCGAAAGACTAGAACATGTGTTTCTCTCAGGAGGGATGCAGCATTTAGCTTTGTCAGCATCGTTAGTCTTTTTCCCGTTGCAGGAGGCAGTAAAGGAGGCTATAGCAGAAGAACGACAAGCAGGGGAGAGGAGACTTGAGGACATCGTGTTGAAGGTTCGAAATGACCTAACTGAATTTATGAAGGAGCAGAAAAACGTAAGTATATGGGCTGCGTGGTGTATATGATCTTGACCCTGGTCAGGATAAGTGGGTGGAAGGTGACTGGGTGGATGAGTGAGTGGAGGAATGGATGATGTAAACACTGTAACATGTAAAGGTCTCTGTTCCTTGACAGTAAACTCTGTCATTGGAAAAAGGCTGGCATTTTGCCTTTGGTTTCTTTGAAGACCTGGGATTTCGCTCCTCCTCATTCTCTTTATATGGTTGAATGCTGCAGTGTACTAAAGTATTCAGCGTAACGGAATTTTTTAATGGTTCTCCATTCCACATATATCCCATGATCGGTAGTTTTATGTTTTGTAACCAAAGGATCGGTAGCTAAGGAGAATATAATCAAGGCTGCGTAATGCAGTTCCCTCTAGGCCAAGTTCTCAAATTTGTGTTCTGAGTTCTTGCGATCTCGGCACCATTTCAACCAGGCCAGGCAGGAGGACCAGGTCACCTGATCCACCCTCGGCGTCTTCCCACACTTCAGCCGAAAGCGGGTTCTGTGCAGTTTCTCTTCATGTCTGACCGGATCCGGTGCACCTCACACGCTTGGGTGTCTGTCATTTCGGTCCTCTGCCACTGGTGGCTTGCGGAGGTGGGTGGGCGGAGCCTCTGCATCGTACCCAGGTGTCAGTCCGCTGCATGAGTTCGGGTAGCTGACTTTGCTTCGCAGGCAAACCAACAGAACGAGCGCCAAAACATCACAGACCCCATTCTAGATGAGAGGCAGGTCATTGAAAACAGCTGTCTGCCCCTGGGGGTGGTTTTTGTTCTAGTATATTCACACACCTCTCTCTTTATCTTGGCGTGCCACTTCTGTTAATCCATAACTCCAGGGAAAAAAGCTGACTGATTGTTTTTCCTACATTTGCAGATTTATCATTTCATAATTTTCTTATCTGATGAGGGGTGTCCTTCATTAGTGTTGCTGATTTTTGTCTCAGTTTTTAATCTTGTATACCAGTGAGTCTGGTATTTTGGATGTTAATTGCAAACGGCAGTCTCAATGAGACTTCAGGCACTAAGTGCAGTTCCTTGATGGTAAGAGCTCACATGCCCTTTTAAGCTTTATTTTTGTTTCACTGTACATTACTCTGTTTAAGGAAAAACTCTCAGAATCGTGGGTGGTACATAACCATAACTGGTTTATTTTTAGAGTCTTACTTTATTAGCCTTGTAAGTATAATTAGTCATTGCATGTACTAATACTGTACCACGATGGGATTTAAAGAGTAACTGGAATTTTTATATGGTTAACAGCAATGTTTGTAGCAGGACTCCAGGTTTCACTGAACCTGCATGTAAAGTTGGCACCTCCTGCTTGTGCTGTGGCGCTGTGGTGGCAAAGAGGGATCTTTTCGAATGAATAAAAATACCAAACTGGAAGTTATGGCCATGTGTTGGTGCTGCAATAGGTGGTGGTTAAATGTTTTTTTTTTTTATGTGGCTAACCACTGGATTCTGTGGAATCTATATATATATAAACAGCACCCAGACATCACATTATTAATTGACCTTTTGGGGAAAATTACTCCTATGACGTTAAAATAATGAAAACCGCATCGATTGGGTCACTAGCCTAGCACTGAAGTGTATTTGCTTAACCCTGATGTCACTGGGGCTGAGTTCAGCCTGGACGTGATTAACTTGCTTTAATCCCTCTGCTCTTACAGGGTAAGGGCCCCTTTACATGAGGCAGCCTCTAAGCTGTAGTAATAAGTAGATTCATAGGTTAGTTCTCCATGTTCTGAGTTTTACAGCATCCCTCTGAGGACAGGAAGTCCACACTGGCCTCACGCACACATTCGCTGCCCCTTTGTACTGACAGTGCCATAAATAACAAAGTACTTTTCCTTGTGTTATCTTTATTAGGCGTTATGTGAGGCTTTGAACGTTCTGGTCTAAATTAATTAAAGCCAACGTGCCTTTGGGCCAACCTGTGTGACGCTTTGAAGCGAGTTTTTACACATAAATAGTTCTGTACATGAGAGAAATCGACGCTTATTAAAATACACAGAAACACATGTTTAAGGGCTTGCTATGCATGTCTAATAGAAAACATGATGGAGGGAGTGATACTGTACATAGCAGAGGAGTTTAAACAATGGATCCATTTTAGCATGCCAGGTTTACCCTTTGTTAACTTGCACATTGTTAAAAAAAAAACGGTACAGCCATTTGAGGAGCTCAGGCAGAGAGAGGGCCCTTTTTCTGTTCTGGATAAGTCTCATTTAGCTTAAACTGGGATCCTGGTAACTATAACCAGTTGGTCTCATGGTGGTAATATGGAATCTGGTTGGGTTTAACGCCTCTATTGGTTCCAGCTATTGCACCCTGGGGACATTTCAGGTGTTCATGAGTTGCTGGCGTTACGGTGTAACGGCGTTAACGACTTCTGTACTGTGGAAACTATAGAACAAAAATATCTGGAACCTATAAAGCGCGTAAAACTCAACGCTTTCGTGTTAATCCATGCTATTCTCCAGGTGTTATTCTTCTGAGCGGGTGGAGAATGCCCTTGTGTTCAATAGAAAAGTCTGTAGCACTTCTTAACAAGCATCAATGCCTGAGCCAGCGAAGGACTCCCATATGAGGGAAGGATGGGGAAGTACCATCTCTTCCATCAGAAGCTGAAAGGTTCCTTTCTGAGTGCCAGGGAAGTGGTACGTGTTTCTGTTAGATAAAAAGGACGAGAATTCTTGTAATGTTGAGTCAGGCTCTTCAAAGGAGTACCCACCCACTCAGTATTGTAAATAAATACTGTAAATAAATTCTATTTGGGTGGCACATTATTGAGTCAGATCTAAAGAATTCAGACTTCAAGAGTTCCCCGTGCTAAGATGTTTTCCACAAAGCCGTCCTTATTCTACGAAAGCCGCACAAGGTACAGTGCATTGGCATTTAGCAATACAGTAGCACAATACAGCCGTGTTACTGTTAACATTACATTTAAACTGTGATATTCTGAGGTGAAGATGAGGGAAGATGAGAGATCAGCTCAATAATTGGGCATCAGTCGCCATTTTTGTAAAAGATCTATAGTAAATTCATGCCATTTTGTGTGTGAAATTCTGTGATATATAATTTTTTTAAGAGAACACATGGAAATATTTTTCCATTTGCTCCATGATAGAAATTTAAAACATGAAGTAAGGTGTAAAATAATTTTTGTCTGGTTTTGAAAATATGAAGAAATTAAGGTGTAAATAAATTGTCTTTATGGTTTACAGGGTCTCAGAGAATCCTGTTATGCAAGCCTATATCTGTGTATCCACAGGCTATGATTGATCTGACTATGCCTTACTTAAGGTGATCCGGTAGAAGAACCGGGGGAAGTTTCTCAGAAAGGGTTCAGAGCAGTTCAAGAGATTAGAGGTACTCATGTTATCAGGCATAGGCCAGCCAGCAGAACTGCTCTTATTTTGGGCTGGAGTGGACTGAACATAAGGGTTAGAGCCTCAGGTATTCATGGTGACATGTAATCACCCCCCACCCCACTCTCAAAGATCTGTTCTCAGGCTCTTGGGGAACTTGCAAAAGCCCGTCAGCTGAGCCAAGCTGGGACAATGAATGACAGCGGAATCTGCAGCGGAAAAGCCTGCAGAGATAAATACCAAGTTACTATGGTATCATCATGTTCACCACTGATGGTCAAGTGGTTAGCAGTTCAGTGTTGTGGTACGTGAAGCAAACGCATAAGATTATGCACAGGCCAAATGAGAAGCTAAAATGTCCTACAGATTATAATGTAATAATTTATTGTGGATTACATCATAATTTTAGAGATACGATTAAGTGTGTTCTCCACTGGATTGTAATTGACTTCCTAACTGTTAATGACGTGTCATTTCCCCCCGCAAATATTTAAAAATATTGCGTTTAATCAGTTGATATGCAGGTGATTTTAGCTACTGAATTATTGTTCTTGCACATACCACGTTTGAAAGCTGTTGCTCAGTTGAGGAACCATTGGCATTGAATGTCATCCTGTTTCTTGCAGAAGTGAATCACATGGTCTGCACCATATCAGTCATGTACATTGCACCTTCCCATCACAGCACCCCTAAAATACTCTGGAGTTGACTGTGTAAACAACACCCTGTGCTGATCCATTTCATTTCTCTGTTGCGTGTTTCTCATGCTATTTAGCAAACAGCCAAGCAGAATAGTTGTCATCTTGTCCTTAATTTTGCTTCAGCAGAGGAATGCTGAAGCAGAGTCAGGATGAGGCTTCTCCACGTCCGTGAGTGTTGATGTTCCAAAGTTCCGAAACAACTATGAAATTGTTTTTAATGAGCTGAACTCTCTGACCTCTGGAATTAGACTGTCAGTGGAGCTCCTTGAATTCACTCGCACAGTGTGGGATCAGTGCTGATGCGTTTCCTGTTAACCCTACAGCTAATCTTTGGCTAAGACCTGTAACATTTGCCCTCTGCTCATTTTACCTGCTCCTCACATTGAATTTGGAGATTGATGGCTCTTCACCACATCAGGTCTTAGAGGCCGTTTCTCTTCCAGTCATTATTCTTGACAACCTTTAATCGTACTGTCTTTTATTTGTGTGAATCTTTTGTCTGTGTGAAGCAGCTCTCTGTCACTGTACAAAGGTCAGCCTTGAGCCCCACGTCAGTCCTTTCTTAGGTCAGTCAACTGAAGTGGCATATACAATGTTTATAGTGTTCTTTTTGTGGCTGCCTATCATACAGAGCATCTCATAGCAACAAGGAAGAAATTTGATGATGTTTAAACGGCTTTGTGAATTGACAAAGAATATTTCTTGGTGAATCCGCATAAAATATCTGTCAGCATGAGGTCCCTTTGATTTGTTTATTTCCAAATGCATAAGTGACCTTTGAGTACAAAAAGAACAGTTTGTTTTGAATTGAATATGTAGCTGAAATCAGCCAGGAAAAAATGCTTTAATTAACATAAAATGAGCACAACCCAGGTATTCAAATAATATAAAAATCACGGATCAGCTAAAGTAT